CATGACAGAAGATCAACTAGTGGTTGCTGTGTGTTCCTTGGATCCAACTTTTAATTCAGTGGTTTTCTAGAAAACAAAGAGTTGTTGCTCTGTCATCTACTGAAGCAGAGTATCGAGCTCTTGCACAAGGGTCAACTGAGATTGTCTGGTTTTGCAGTCTGTTCACTAAGCTTGGACTACAACTTTCTGGTATTCCCATCATTTGGCGTGACAACCAAAGTGCTGGTTCCTTAGCCTCAAATCCTGTGTTTCATGGTAGGACAAAACACATTGAGCTTGATGCTCATTATGTGAGAAATCAAGTTACTGACAACAAACCGAAAGTTCAGTATGTTCCTACTGAATTTCAGAAAGCAAATGTTCTTACTAAAGCATTGCCAGCATCCAAGTTTGTAAGATTTCGAGAAAAGCTCAATGTCAAAGCTACTCCATCAGTTTAATTAATCTGCTGCAGATGTTCTATGTTACTTGCGTTTAAGTATTGGGGTTTGCAGGGTTAAAAATCATGTTGTTCTGGAGTTTAGTTTTATAGGTTGACCATTTGTTTAATGGTTGTTGAAGCTGTCAACTTGTGCTTTCAGATGTGTTGAGTGTTGATTTTTGCTGGTTGGTGAAGTTTGTATTGAAGTTGAATCTACTGAATTTGCTGAGTTGAAGCTGGTTTTGGAGTTTCAGAAGTGTTAAGTGTTGCTTTTAATGGTTGTTGATTTTTGCTAATTGGTGAAGTTTGTATTGAAGTTTGAATCTACTTAATTTACTGAAGTTGAAGCTGGTTTTGGAGTTTCAGAAGTGTTGAGTGTTGCTTTTAATGGTTGGTGATATTCTGGTTTTGGGTTTCAGTTGAAGTTGTTTGATGTTTCAGAAGAGTTGAATGTTGAATTTTGCTGAAGTACTCAGTGTTGAGTTGAAGATGATTTGAAGCTTTAGTAGTGCAGAATTGGAAGATTGTTTCAGTGTCTGGTAATTTGGTGATTTGTTCTGCTGATTCAGTACTAAGTGTCAGTTTGATGCTGTTTTCTCATTGAAGTATGCTGTTTCAGTGTGCTGGTTTAGTACTACATATGTTGTTGCATTGTCAGTTTGGCTGCTGATTGTTCTATTGAAAATATTGTTGGTGTTAAAGCTGTCAGCTTGTGCTGCTAGTTCTGATGATTCAGTGCTAATCTTGATGTTGCTTCCATGTTGCAGTATGAAATCTCAGTTGTCAAAACAACAAGATTATGGAAGTTTGGTTTAAGGGAAGATGTTAGGATTAGTGTATCAAATGGTTCATACCTATGGAAGTTTGGTTTAAGGGAAGGTGTTAGCATTAGTGTATATAGTGATTCATGATGTTTAGATTACTAATAAGTGACTTTAGCCTAAGTTGCAAATTGTAATTTGTTACTTACACGTGTATTGCTGTAAGTTGCAATTGTTACTCACGTGTATTAGGCTTGTGTATATAAATGAGCCTGTAACCTTTTTCAATTAGTTAATAAAAAGTACAGTTAACAACTTTACTCTCTTAATTTTTCCCTCTCAATTCTCATTCGCAACTATGCCGACCTGTGTTTGTGACATGGCCGTGGGTTCCAATCTTGACAACCCAAAATCGGAAACCTTGGCGACCCATTGTTTGTCCAACAAAATATTTGTTGTCTTAACATCACGGTGAATGATAACATGCTTCGCGCCCCGTGTGAAGATAATGTAAGCCCTGTGCTACACCAATACAAATATTGAGTCGTTGATTCCACGAAAGAGGAGGATTATCGCTGTTATAGAGATGATCACGTAGGGTCCCACGAGACATGTAATCGTACACAAGGATCATCTCTCCGTGATCATTGCAATAAACAATGAGAGACACCAAGTGAAGAAGCCTAAGCCGGGAGAGGCAATCGATCTCGGCGTTGAATTCCAAGGCGCCCTATTGTGACCCTGGATTCACCCGTTTGATTGCAACAGGTTTGGACCCATCATTAATGTAGCCCTTCTAATACACATTACCCTCAAATTTAATTAATTCAGATATATGTTGTAATTATATATTCATGTAGCATCTTGGGGTTGCTTCTTTTGCTTTTTAATTTTCAGTAAAAGAATGAACCAAAAATAGTCTAGAAAATATCAAAATTCTTATTAGATTTGCATGAGCATAAAAAAAGGTCAAATTATAACGCATTTAGATGATTTCTCCTAAAATAATAAAGGAGTTTGGACATATATAACCAACTCAATAATCACAATTTCCTAAAATGTGAAAGTTTTATTTAAAGCAAAAACCTTGTTATAAAATCCAATGACTTTCTAATAATATTCTTAATGAAATAATAAATGTTATATTAATAATATATTGTGCTAGATTATGCTAGACTGGATAATCTAGATCGAGTCTATTATTTAATAGTATAGTTTGATAATCTAATTAAAACATACTAGACAGTACTAGATCTAATAGTCTAGTATATTCAAACTATTTTTGTCATGCATGATTAACTCATTCTAAATTTGTAAAGGGAAAAATTAACGAGAAATAAAAATTCATATTCAATATTTATAAAAATTATTAGTGGCCAGTATGTAGCAGACTAGCATTTGTAAAGGCTTTTGGTAGCAAATTAGCATAGAGAAGTCGAGAACTATCAGTCCGTGACTTCACTGGTGGAAGTCTTTGACAGATTCAAAGTCTTCTGCTAAAACGTTGAAGTTTAATTCTCTTGCTTGAATGGTTCGACGTTGATGGTAACTTCAATTTTCTTGTCCATATGTGAGTTTTCCAACTTGACTTAGATTAAGGGTTTTATGGGCATTGTCAAACAAAACCCTAAAAGGCCAAATATCACGACCTCTTGGGCTCACATTTAACTGTTGAAAAACTTAACCTTCTTCTTACAATGAAGTATGGTCATGACCTTAGAGAGAACATGAGCTGATTTAACAAGAAGTATGGCTAAAGGTTATAATAGTAAGCTAGCAATATACACGGGTTTAAGAGATAAACCCAAATAGTATTGGACCCGAAAAAAGTTTATCATTGATAAAGCAGAAACATTCTTTTTCTTATTTGAGAGTAGATTAATGATTTCTACACTACCCTGTTAACACTTTGTGGGAAAAAAATATTTAAGTATCCAAGGGGATACGTCAACAAATACCTTTGTTGGCCCTTGTGTTGACCCAACTTGTTTCATTGCAGGACGAAGTCATTTCCTTTTGAGGCCCAAGCCCACAGTTAAGAGTTATTCATCCTAATCCAATTACTGTAGACTCAGGTCCATCAAAAAACCAACATAAAGTCTAATTTAAAAAACTAGCTCAGTACCTCTGGTCATTCCTTGTTAAATTAAGTATTGCAATTAACCCCTTACTTTTTCTAAGCATCATTATATATTCTACCTTTCCATCTCTCTGGTTCACTCTAATTTTCGAAACCTTCCACATACACATCCAGTTAACATGACTTGGTGAGTTTTAGATACTAGGGTTTAGGGTTCCTATACAAACGTTTGTTTCAATACATTTCATTTGTTAAATATGTTCAACTCACCAGATTTAACAAATGAAACAATTTAGAGAGTAATCAAAACTAACAAGTAAACAATCACACATAAATAATGTAAAAAAGTAAAGAGAAAATATATACGCAATTTGTCTTTGCTCACCCAAAATCCGGACTATGTCTAACAGAGTCAATATTATTAAAACATCTATTTACCTCTCTCGTTACAATGAATGTATTTACCTATGATTTGCTATCACACTCTTGTATGCATTTGTCTTGCCCCTTATTGTTGAGGTGGTCGACAACTCCAACACTAACTAATATTCTCTAGCTTGGCAGCTGCTGAACGAAATAGAGGCAACAACAGGAACAAAATATAACAGTAAAACAAATCAAATAGTAAACAAAGAAAATAACACACGCGATTTATCCTGGTTCACCCAATGTGGGCTACGTCCAGCTGAGTCAATATTATTGCAATATGCCTTGCCTCTCTCATTTACAATGAATGAATTGCCCTATGATTTGCTATCACTTCATAACAAGAGAAAAGTATGTTTATATATTATGTTTAATAGACTAAACCTAGTTTTATAAGGATTCCTATTCTTAAGCTCAACCTAATAAGGAATTAGTAACTTAAAAGAAATCATATAGCGGTTATACATGGAAAAGCCCAAAACCGCCTACGGGCTCGGGGGCACCTCCCCCGCGACTCCCATCCGCTAATCGGGCAGCAGAACCCCCGAATGCGTTTGCGTTACCCATTAATGCTAAAATAGTCGACAACTCCAACAGTTGCCACATCAGCTACTGACTTGTCTATAGAGTCTGGGCTTGTTAGTCTTAACACATTCATGTTTAGTGGGATTTGTTTTAAAATAAGTTTCGGTTCCTATAATATTGTGTATACAAAAAGAATAAATATGGTTTATATTGCTTGTATTATATGAACTGAAGAAAATTCTCTTCTTCCTTCATGTCTTTATTGTTTTGTTGTATTACGAAAATTCTTCTCCGACTGGATAAGAATGAATGAAAATCCTTGAAATTTTGTAATAGAATAATAAACAGGGGTCCTCAATTCATTTGTAATCTTTTATGTATATAAGCATTGGCCTTTATTCTGTTTTATGTGTGCCAAAGTATATACTTCTTTTATTATGACATTAACTTCCGTAGGAGTCAATAAATTAAGTTACTTGGAAGGAGGATATAGTGTGTGTATATATATATATACATGTCCATTAATACCAAGTTTGATTTGATACTATATCTCTAAGAAATACTACACTTAAAAATCAATCTTGTAAAATTTCTTTCAAAATCTCGACATGATAACTTACAATTGGTCAGCTCGTAAATAGGTTATGTCTATTTGCAAATGATTGTTCATGTTAGATTGGACTTTGAACCAATTTTTATTAATATCTCTAATAAGAGATGAATGGATTATGTCTTTTGTTTCCCTAGCTCTGCATACTACATAAATTTAATCAACTTATCGTATTCCGAAATAAAGCATGCAATTACACAGAAAAAGTACATGATTGCTATAAAACATAGAAACTACGTCTAACATATCCAAGTCTTACCGTGATTGAGTCCAAATTTCCAGACGAAAAATAAACTAGTGAAAATATAACCTCTATTTATCAAGACAGGACGAAGAGACTTTCAATCTAACTTATCGCCCTTGTGGGTTCATGATCTCGGAGAAGACAGCTCCTGAAACGTGTCTACTACCAGAACTTTTAGTAGAAAAGCTTTGATCATCACTGGTTGATAGTGTCACCGTACTAGCGCTCTTCAAATCAAACACATGTTCTCCAATGCTACTGAACAAACTCCCGCTATCAACATCTGATTCATATTTCAATAAACATATCTCCTCATCATCAACCTCGCCCTTCTTTCTATCCTCCTTATCATCCCCAAACTTCTAATGCTTCTCTGCCGTCTCCTGTAATTGCAATGCAAACTCAAGACCCCACACCACGTCACTCATCGATGGCCGTCTTGTTCCATTATCATCCAGGCAACTCATTGCCACCTCTGCAAATTTCTTCAAGCACTCCGGCGCTATCATACCCTTCAAAAACGGATCAATAATCTCATGAACCGTCTCACTGCAGTAACATTGTCGAGCCCAAACGGCTAAACTCACTTGCTTCTTATCCACAGTTCGAAGTATAGGCGCCCTCGCACACAAAACTTCCAATAACACAACACCAAATGAGTACACGTCAGAATTCTCAGTCAAATGCTGAAGTCTATAATACTCGGGATCTAAATACCCAAAACTACCCTTCACAACTGTGCTGACGTGTGTTTGTGACATGGTCGTGGGTCCCAATCTTGATAACCCAAAATCGGAAACCTTGGCGACCCATTGCTCATCCAACAAAATATTTGTTGTCTTCACATCACGGTGAATGATGACGTGCTTCGCGCCAGTGTGAAGATAATGTAGCCCCCGTGCTGCACCAATACAAATCTCGAGTCGTTGATTCCACGGAAGAGGAGGATTATCACTGTTATAGAGATGATCACGTAGGGTCCCACGAGACATGTAATCATACACGAGGATCATCTCTCCATGATCGTTGCAATAGCCAATGAGAGACACCAAGTGAAGGTGCCTAAGCCGGGAGAGCAAATCGATCTCGGCATTGAATTCCAGGGCCCCCTGTTGTGACCCCGGATTCAGCCGTTTGATTGCAACAGGTGTGGACCCATCATTAATGTAGCCCTTATACACATTACCAAACCCTCCAACGCCAATAATGAATGCATCATCGAAGTTGTTTGACGCCGCTTTGATCTCGGATAGTGAAAAGCGGGTACAAAGATCGGACGGTAGAGATAAGCCACGGGACTTGGTTGACTTGGTCGTAGAAGTAGAAAATGGGGCCCAGAATGAAGTCCCAGCAGTGCTGGAACCCCAGTCATTGACTAGCCTTGCTCGCCGGAATATTAACAATAATAAAAGAGAAAGTACAACAAAGCCGGATGCAACACCAGCAACGATGGCTATTATCGTTGTACTTTTGTTCTTCGGTTTTGTTGATTGCAGGTTTGTCTCTGGAACCGAAAGTGAGGGGATCAGGTCAGGATTAGGTCCTGCGAGATTTTTGAAGCTGTCCACTTTGAAGATTTCAAGGCCATTCAAGATGGCATCAGAATAATTTGTCATCCATATGAGCGCTGGGTGCAGTGCGATAGAGAGATTCTGCTTCTTTTCATCTCCTTTTGCTGCTATCATAACAGCGTACTGACTGTATACAGGAATACCATTTCCACCGCTCCATTCAAATATGTCAGCTCGAGTCTCGGCAGTTTGATTAGCTATGTAGATTTCAAACCTTCTACGACTATTATCTGTTATCTCTATCTGAACCTCGCAAAAATGAAGCCTGACAAAATACGTAAACCCGGAATCCACGGGAAACTCCCAAGTGAGTCTATAATTCTGGTTAACATTCTCGTCCTTCCCCATCGACATGGCTGTTTGATAGACTACAACTGGAGCAGTGTAATTCGGTATCGCGTCGAACCTGGGGCTAATAGTAACGTTGACGACTTTAACACCTGGTCTAGCATCTCTCAAGTAGCGGTCGTCCACAATCCAGTTTCTATACATACCGGTGTCCTCTATGGGCGTGATTTGTTTCCCGGCGACATTTATTCTGTATACGGTCTCAAGGGCATTGCTGGTTTCAATACTGAACGGATTCATCACCTAGCCAAGAAATTTGAATGGACCATTTATACCTTCTGTCTCCGTGAAATAAAGATTAGGGGGCATGGATACTATTTCAATCCCGTTGATAAAAGCATATGCTTGTTTGTGGTCTGGACTGGGAGTGAAGGTTATGTTTAACCCATCTTCTTCGACGTTAATGCAGTATTCTTTTGAAACGGTATCTTGGCCGTCAAGATCAGCAGCAGCTGTTAATGAAGCACTAAAGTTTTTAAGAAGGGTAAAGGAATTGGCTTGAACAGAGAAGAAATCTTCAGAGCTATCAAAGTTCGGATACGAAGTAGCGAAGAAATACAAGCGGATGAACTTTTGACCGGGCGTGATGTTGAATATGTAGGTGAATGGCGCATAAGAGAGTCTGGTTTTCCCATAGAATTTCTCTAAACTTCTTCTGGGTTGTTGAGGTGAGTCAGAGAATATTGATTTGTTGTTTTGGGCTTGGAGCGAGGAAAAATATTCAGAGTTGATATCTCCAGTCAAGTTTCGGCCATCTTGAGAAACCGATTTGTCAGGGGAGCCACAAGCAAGAAATATGTTCTCTGCTGGAGTGTATGTAAACGTTGAGTCACCGGCAACGGCGGAGAGGAGGAACTGGCTATAGGAGAAGTAGAATAGTGCAAGAGTTGGTCGGATTTTGGTATAGAGATGAGGGCTACAAGTGTTTTCCATTGCGTGTTATGGAAAAATCTGGAGCAAAAACTTCTGCAGATTAAATATTGTAAGAGCTTGTTGCACTTCAAAGTTCAAACACACGGGATAACCGTGAAATCATGAAACACTAGTAAGTCTTTGACGTTGGCTCAGAAACCCTTTTTTTTTTTTTTTTTTTTTTTTTTTTGACGTTGACCGATTGCAGATTTTTTTTTTTAAGGATTAACTTCTTTCGTTTAGAAATCGTCAAACCTTCAGCATACCAACCATATTTTATTTAACTTTTAATCCAAAATCATTCAGTCGATATCTTTTACGTGTATAAAATCACGTGACCTTGACTAATTCTCGTAAATGACCATCACAACTTCCCACCATCTTGATCTCGACTAGTCCCTATAAAAATCGTATGACCTTGACTAATTCTCGTAAATGACCATCACAACTTCCCACCATCTTATCTCTACTAATCCTGCAAGTGACAGAAACAACATTTTACAATTGTGACCATCTATTTAAATATTAAGAGTTAAAAGGGATTCGAATCTAAGACTGTAATCATATATCATTAAACTTGTTTTACCACTTAAACTATCTCAAAATTTATCATGTATCGTTTTTTATTTACTATGATTGAAAGAATCCATCGTATATTTGCTTCAATGTAACAAGCCCAGGTTGGAATTTACTTAGCTTTAAGAAAGAATTTTTGGGAAGTTGCAATTGAGGTTTTTTTTTTTTTTTCTATACATCAAACTGCTTTATAAGTAATTTGGACGAGTTTGATTTCTTGAAGGTGATTATTTAAGGATTGTTCCATCCAAAAATTGGTATTAACAAATCAAATGGTTAGTTGATATTAATATATGATAGATTACTGATAAATAAACAAATAAAAGTTTTAATAATTGGTCTTTAAACATGGCGATACATCACCATCACCTTTTACATTATGGTGTACATATGAGAACAATAAATATTGCTATTTTCTGTTAGCCATCGGACCCTATAAGGCACGGCAACTTATTTACGTATCTATTCACCCTAGTGAAAGTTTCTACTCCATTCATTTCGCAATAAAAATCAAGTAACACCAACAAACTTATTACACGTTTCAATTTAATTTAGGTAATACGTTTTACTCTCTTTTTAAACTTTATTTTTCCCTCTCACTGTCTATATAGCCACACTTGAGCCTCACAAGAACTTCATATACCAGGTACTCAGCTTGATAATTTCACTCAACTAGAGAGACAGACATCAGGAAGACGATGAACATGGCAAAAAATATGATGGCGGGTCTCTCTTTGGCGATCCTAGTTATGATACTCTTCAATGCAAATCAGTCTACAGCTAGTGTTTGGCCCGAGAGGCGCAACAGCTCCAACACCAGCACCTTCCAGTATTGTAATGATTCCATGCAAGATTGCCCTATTGCGGAAGACGAAAACGTTGTGTTCTTGTCTGAATCGGAAATCGATTCGAGTTTTCAAGTAGAAGTATCTTTTATAGCTATTCGTCCAGCAGTGAATTGCGGGAGAGGAAGAAGCTATACATCGTGCCTACCTGATCCACGAAATTCTAAAATAGTTGAACGTTGTGGTAGATTGTACATCAAGAGGAATCGAGGATGCGCCTAGTTTGTGGTTTCGCCAATTAAGTTTATTAAAGTTTTAATGTATTATGTATTGTCTAATCTCTTTATCTTTCTCTTTGTTCATGCATTCCTGATTGATCAAGCATTAACCATGAGTACTGCAGGTGCAATATATGTAATATAGTTTAATAAAGATGCTACCACTTTCTGATAAGTTCATTAATGTTCCTTGTATTATATGTTTTAGGGATTATTTGTTAATTAAGCCAATCTTCATTCAATTTATTGAATCAACCACATTAGGTCGATTAATGATAAAAGAGCAGAGAATGATCTAACATAGTCTTTCAAGATTAAATTTTCTTGATGGTATAAGAGTAAGAGGAGGATTTAACATGGTCTCTCGAGTTAAGTCTTCACGGCTATTAATATGGATGATTACTAGAGCTCTTATCCGGTCAATAGTTTCAAAGTCTCAGAGGATTAATTAAGATGCATGCAAACTGATCCGAACACCCATGGTCATTAAAAAACAAAAAATTATTGAATTTCTTACCGTGCATGCATAGAAGATTTGTAGGACAAATTCAATTAGTCAACCACACCAACCTCACTGGAGGCTTTAATACCTCTTGCCGGTACACTTATGAGTCTCACATGCATATTGATTAAGTTAGGTTCACACTTAGATAATGATAATATCCCAAACACAAATCAATTATAAGTATTTTCTTTGGACAAGCATTTATGGAATATCTATATAAAAATGTTATGATTCAGTTATTGAATGTGTATTTATTTATTCCCAGATGTAATATGATGAATTACAAAATAAATTATTGTTGTCCATTAGATAATAAAATATATGATCAATCACTCATGAGCTGATCGCGTTTGAATAAGATTATCATCTTTAATGAATATATTAATCAACTATAACTAATTCATTAAGGGTATTCTTTAGTTTTTCGTTTAAGACAAAAGATAATGAATAATAAATGGGTTTTAAACTGTTAATGGTCAATTATTACTCTTATCATTCGTTTATACTCTTATTTCAGTGAATTAGTAAGACAAACTGGCACTGATACAAATAGGCTTCTGTCATGCATGGCCGACAAAAGTTGTTCAATTTCTTCCCAAGATTTCTAAATCTTTTAAAGATTAATTATGGCAACTTCAACTCTTTCGAAAGGAATCAGCCGACCGAATGGCTGAAAAATGGTGCCTTTATCTTTACGAACACTAAGGTGCGTTTGGTTCAGAGATGTTAGATTACTGAAATTTTATATTACCTTGAAGATTAATGGAAACTTTAAGAAAATGTGTTTGATTATGAAATAAATTGGTAGAGTTATATTAATATATTTAGTTAGGAGAAATAATTGGTGGGTATATATTTAAATTAGTAAATTGTCCTCTTTTAAAATATTAATATAATATTATTTTTATTTTTATTTTTATTTTAAATAATTTTTTAAACCCCAAATTTTAAATTTAGCTAAAACACCCCCGCTTATATAAAATTTTAATTTATAACAAACTCACCCCCACCCCTGCCATCACGCAAACCACCATCGGAAGTCGCGTGAGCAGCCCACCGTGAAACGGCCAGACCCATCAATCTAGTCGGAAATGGCCAGAATAGATCTGGCCATTTTCGGCCAGATCTACTCTCGTTATGGCCTTTTCAACCATCAATATGTCAGAAACGGCCATATCGAGGCCTCCCGGTCCCGGTGGACTGCTCACGGCAACTCCAGGTGACTTTCGAAACTTCCCGCAACGGCCGGCGATGGTTTGGCTAGCGCAGGTGGGTGGGGTGGTGGCTTGGGTAAGCTGAAATTTGTTTGATTTCAAAGGTAATTTTGTCCAAAAAGTTAATAATTGGGGGAAATGGTAAAAGCAAGATTCATGTAAATAAATTTAAAAATAAGGGCATTATTATCCTAAAATTTATTAATAAGGGATGAATTGTAACAAAAAAAAAAAAAAAAGATTACTCAAATAATCTTACAATACCTAAGAAAATTAGGTAATCAGATTACCTCCAATATTACCGATAGTAATTGCTTTGGTATTTGAAGATTACCAGTATTTATATTACTTGACAACTAAATATGGTAATCAAGTAATATAAGATGACTTAACCCTAGTAATCCCACATAACCTCTAACCAAACGCCCCCAAATGATTTCCAAATGTCACATATACAAACCACTCAAATTCTCTCTCTCTCTCTCTCTCTCTTCTCTCTCTCTCTCTCTCTCTCTCTCTCTCTTCTATATATATATATAATATAATTATATTATAATATATAATATATTATAATATATATATATATAATGAACATTCTTTAATTTCTTTAAAAACCTTTAAGTCTTCACGCAGGCTGCAAGCACAGTTTACCAACCGCTTACTCTCAAATGACGTATTTTGTCTCTTCAAAATTGACCGTCAAAATTCAATATTTTTCAATAACTAAAGACCAAAAATCCATATCCCAGAAATTATTATCATATATATTCTGAAATATATGTTATAGTAATGCTATATATTCTGAAATTACCCAACTATGTTTTACCCGTTCATTTGGCAATGAAAATAAGAATTAAACCAATAAATTAATACGCGTTTCAACTTAGATAATACGCTTTTCTATTTTTTCCTCTCACTCTCTATATAGCCAAAACTTGAGCCCAACAAGAACTTCATATACCACATTCAGTTTGAAAATCTTACTGAACTAGGGAGAGCGACATCAGGAAGAAGATGAACATGGCAAAAAATATGATGGGAGGTCTCTGTTTATCGATCCTTGTGATGATACTCTTCAACGCAAATCAGTCTACAGCTAGTTCGTGGCCCAAAAGCAACACGACCAGCACCTTCCAGTACTGTAATGGTTCCATGCAAGATTGCCCCATTGCAGAGGACGAAAACGTTGAGTTACCGAGTGTTCAAATAGCAGTATCTTTAATACCTAGTCGTACTACAGTGAATTGCGGGAGAGGAAAGAGCTACACATCCTGCCTACCTGATCCACGAAAGTCTAAAATAACTGAACGTTGTGGTAAACTGTACATCATGAGTACCAGGAATCGAGCATGCGCCGTCGTTAATTAATTAAGTTTAGTGAAGTTTTATTAAGGTATTATGTATGGTCTAATCTCTTTCTTGTTGTTCATGCATGCGTGCTTCATCAAACATTAGCCGTGAGTACTGCAGTTGCTAATTGCTATATATATGTACGTATAATAAGTTCATTAATGTTACTGAATTAAATGTTTTTCGATCAATTATTTGTTAATTAAGCCAATTTTCCAAGTAAACACACCTGCACTCCTGCAGCTTCACTCAATTAATTTATTGAATTATATTTGTTACAGTGCATAGAAGATTGGCAGTACAAATTCAATTACTGCAACCGCACCAACCTCACCGCAGGCTTTAATATCTTTTACTCGTACACTTATCGGCAATCAATATGTTG